CCCCCCGCCAGTCAGAAGACAGAACAATGCACGGGCAACAATGGATTGAGCATAAAGTGTGTCACATCTGAGCAGGACAAAAGGTGCAAATAATGTCAAATATCATAAAACACAGAGAGACTAGAACGTCCTGGACATATGTATGTGTACGCAAACATTCGACCCACGCACCATGCAGCACAAACACTACCACCGACTACTCCACTGGCCGGCCATAGAAACAACTTGTCCCCTCAGAACTATTTTGTCCAAAGTCACTCTTTACTTAACCCTATCTGTACGCCCTGGGGTCCTTTTGTACCCCCCGCCGTTGTATTCTTCATATTTTAGAATACTTCTAGTGCGAAAATCTCTTTGAAACTTTCTGTATTTCTCAAAAAATTATTTTGACAGACTGCTATGCAAAGCATACGGATCGGATTAACCAGTAAATTTCCTCTTTGGAAAGTGGTGGCACAGAGTTCCCCACATCGTATGGATACGATAGTAAAACACGGCGTAGGGAGAGGGTTAAGTACACTTTGGACCAAATAGTTCCGAGGCGACGAACCATCTAACACGTAGGAAACTCAACAAACGGACGTAACCAGCGGTTTGCTAGTTACGGCAGTTCTTCAAAAACTGTTAATGCACAAACCCTTGACCACAATTTCTTTTTCACTGGTAGTCAGTAATCACACACAGGTTACGTCTCCTCGTTGACCCACGTTCACTCGCTCGCTCGTGACGACACCGCGAGAACCAACACTCTAAACCAGCAACAGTAATCTCTCTCTCTGTCTCTCTCTCTAAATTCAGTCTCTGCACATTTCTTTTTATACCTCTATTTCTCTCTCTCTCTCTCTCTCTACCACTGTTCTTTATATCTCTATTTCTCTCTCTCTCTCTCTAAATAAAACTAAATTCAGTCCCTGCCACATTTCTCTCTCCCTCTGTCTCTCTCTCTCTCTCTGTAAATTCATTCTCTGCCACGTGTCTTTCACCATGTTTCTTTCTCACACTCAGTGGAATGGTTCCCGAAACAACACGTGTTTTTCACAGAGGCAGGCACTGTGTCAGAACAAGCAACAAACAACACGTGTGGGACAGGATGAGCAGCAAAACCACCGCCTCACAGGCAAATGCTGTGTACGCTAGGAACTTTCCATTACCGCTCTATCCTAATTCTAGGGGGTGTCAAAGTACTTCAAAAGATTTAGAAAAAAAGAAACCACGGCATATAACAAAAATATTTTCACTCAGAAGGGAGAATCGGAGATAGTACCATGGCTTATTATTGTGCACAGACAAAAAAACATATTTAGGGTTCGGTATGACAACATGACTCCAGGACAGACAGTTGCTCGTGGCATCTCACAAGCCCCAAAAATCATTACATCAGTGACCGTTGACCAACCACATTAAGGTACCCGTACAATATGCATTCAAACGGACCCCGGTACAGGTTTTTTTTCTCCTTTCATTGGCGATGGGCTGAACCCTGTAATCAATTACCTTCTTTCCATGATGAACGTACAGACATGTTTAGTACAGCATCCAGAAGTGAAAACTTTTTATCAACGAAACACTCATACTCATAGCATTTTCCCGGTATCTTTCCCTTAGCCGTTTGTCTGGAAAATTATTTCCATTGACTGTAATGTTTTCGGCTACGTTGTTCAACAAAATCTAGATCAGACCAGCCTGGAGCATGAAAAAAGCCGTAGCCCGTTGAAGGGTGGAGTCCTCGTGAGAACATTCCGCTCTAGACAGTCTGTTTGTTCGATAAATTAAGAGACGCACATCAAAGCAGTAACGGTCATTTAGTGCATAGGAAAAGTGGGACAGACAGACAAGACAAAACAGAAACGAGGAAGAGAAAGAAAAGACCTAGGACCTGCCAGTGGCACCCTCCAACCACCCGCGGCTATGATTGCAATCTCAGTACACTTTTCTAAAGAGGAATTACATTGGGTTTTTTTTAACAGACGTCTCAGGTATACATGAGCTAATGGATACGTCACATTATTTCATTTGTCCTTGATTGTCCGATCTGCACAACGGCAAACAAAAAGACAAACAAACAAACAAATAGACAGACACACAAACAAATAGACAGACACACAAAAACTTCTTCATGTTGAAACAGAAAAAAAAGGGAACAAACTCAATTTTAAAAAAATGCAAACTCCTGAGCATTAGAAATGTAAAACTGATAATTAACAACGAGGAAGTTAAACATGGCTTCAACTAGCACCACAAAGTGTTGTGGTACAAAAGTGCAAAGCCTGAGGGATAATCCCCAATCTCTTTACGTAACTTTGGCCAGCAACACGAGGTGCATGAGGGTACGTTACATATGCAGTAAAACACACACAAAAAAAAGAAGATATCTCTGAACAAACAACTGGGTTTTTTTTTTCTTTCTCTCAGAACATGCTAGAGGAACCCACCACAGCCCCCCTCCCACCCCTTCAAACTCCCACCACACATCTTCTGAACCTCTGCAAAAGGGAGACAACTTCCCCCCCACAGTTATCTTAGGCGGTGAAACTCCTGACCAAACTCCCACCTTGTTCTTACCCCAGTTTGAAACGCAATCGCTTTTAAGGACAAGCAGGTTAACCGAGAACTTGGGGGTTTCCAGAAATCTTGACCTATACCAAAAGTGGGCATTGCCATACCATACCTATAAGAGAGGTTTGGTTTCATTGGTGTGTATATTTGTTTGGTTACAGAGAAGACTCTCCTTGCCTTTTAAAGAAACTGAACAGGGGGCAAAAATTTTACCGTCGATTTTCTCAAAACAGCATTTTTCGGGATTGCCCCCTTGTGCTTAAAACCGGCCAAAAGTGAAATGGTATCATAGGTTTATCACTTCTACCAACCCTGTGAAGTCATTAAAGAGGTGAACTCCTGTTTGAAATATGAAATGGTACAGTTAATGCCACTAGCTACACTACTAAGGTTATTTAATTAAGAGGCGGACCAGTGTGTAAGGATGTTAATAAAGGTGGTGGGACGGGGTGGGAAGGGGGGGGGGGCAACAGACTCCTCCTCCGTTAAGAATCGGGACCAAACACCTGTCCCCAGAAAGTGGGTTTGCAACTTGATTTTTTTGTTTTCGTAAATACGCCTCGCTCAACAAAATTTTAAAACTTCAAAGAGACAATTGAACTAGAAAGAAGCTAATGGAGCAGAATAAAAAGGAAACGAAGGAAGAGACAACAACATTCTGTTGCTGTCGACACAGATTATCTTATCCTCTCACTTACTTAGAACAGAAGGACCTCCCTTTTTGACGGAGGGTAGATCTTTTTTTAAAATCTGCACTGTTGCGACAGGGTTACCTGGTTAGTCGGGTTACATTTTCTGGCATATCTTCTCCATGCTAAAAAAAAAAATGAGCATGCCTCAAAGTCGGACTTCAAAGCATTCCAGGAATAAGGTTGTTTTTTTTTATAGTAGAGGGTTTTACGGCGCTCGCAACTGCATCAGGTCATATGAGCGCCAAGGGGTGGGTGTCAACAGAGAAGACTTTACAGGGAATCAGACTTAGACTGCTCACCTCTCTAGCTTCAACAGCACAAGGTCTGCTTCGACTATCAAGGCACCCCAAGGGGGGGGGGGGGGAATAAGGTTTGTTTCATTTAAAAAAAAAAAAAGTTAGTGAAAAAAACAACAACCTATAACAAGTTGAATTTTCCTATTGCGTAGAAAGTAGAGGAGCAAGTCACAAGACGGAGGCACACTAATTGTTTTGTTTTGTTTCACCTTAGGGGAAAAACTCTGGCCACAATTGTGGTATAGAAAAACTTGGCCTGAGGGGGGGAAAAATCACATCATCTCCGGGGTTTCGTGCGCTATAAATACACTCTCTGACTCCAATGCGGAACAAATTTCTTAAAACGAAAATTGCAGAATCAAAAGATCTGCAAAAAACATAACCCCCAAGAAACTGTAGTTGGACAAAGTGAGTAACTGTGAATTAAATGCAACTGAACGATCTCCGAGAGCTGGGCACACTATCAGTGCATCTTGGCGTGTCCGTTCCTCGTGGTCTCAAGGTCGGACATGGTCAGGGGTTTCCCCGTGCCATTCACCGACCTCTGGCCGCTCTGCTGCCGCCGCGAGGGTGGTGCGCCGTCCGCCATCAGGTTACAGCCGCTCTCCTCACGTCCAGGGGCCAGCGAGCCGTCCACACCGACGCCCTCCCCTTCCCCCTTCCCGCCCCTCCCGTGCTCGTCCTCCACGATGCGCCCGTTGACCAGACGCCGGACCACGGTCATCGGCTGGTCCTCCCCGCTGCTGCTACATGCCCCGGGCACACCCTCGTCCTCCTCCTCCTCCGTCTCCTCACAACCCCTACAGGTCTGCTCGCTGACCGAGACATCCGCGTGACCGTCATGAACCTGTGAGTCCGCCATGTCCTTCCCGCCGAGAGCGCAGCCAGCTCCCAGAAAGCCGCTGTCGTCATAGTCGTCCAGCCTCTTGGCGCTGCTGGCCGTCGACTCGCAACTCACGTTGGAGGAGCAGCACGTGTTGTTGCCGACGCAGTAGTTGGACGACGGGCTCTTGACCGCCTCCCCAGCCGGGCACTGGTCGGGCGGGTTGTCCGCCGGCAACAGGCCAAACGCCTTGGCGATCAGCACAAACAGCTTGCCCTGGCACGGGATCAGGATGAACTGGTGCGCGATGGCAAACAGGCGGTAGTACTTGCCGTGGAACGGGTCCGACACGGCCGGGCACAGCATGTTGTTCAGGTTCACCTGGGACACCTGAGGACAGCAATTGTTCCGTTTGACCCCGGTTTCAAATCAAAAGGAACACCAAGAAATGTAGATGATTGCCAAAGAATAGATGTGTTACAAGAGAGTAGCATACACAAAAAAAGGAGGAGGAGAGATAAGGACGACAGGCGGTTGATAGGAAAGAAGGAGCAAACCACACTACAGCACCCGTCAACCGCCCATCTCCTAGAAAGTAACATACAAGTAAAAGAGAAAGGAGACATACGAAGGGGGCAGCAGATGTTTAATAGGGAAAAATAAATGGAGCAAACCGCACCAGAGCAAGGTCATTTATCTCTTTATCTCTCGAGGGGGTTTAGTTTTAGTTTTAGTGGAATCAGGCTCTCGTCAATTTTTGGGCATGTAGAGTTATTGGTATCATCTTAAAGCTTGTTCACTTGTCTTTATTTGGATGAAAAAAAATCTGTTTATCTTAAATTTAAATACAAGTCGAGATATCTGAGAATGAAGGAGGTGGGGTCACCTGTTTTCAGAGACATAATTAGTGAGAAAATGGCTGAAAAAGATTGGTTATTTCCTCAGCTTAAGAGTCTGTGGCAACTGAAAATTTACATTTATTTTACCTTTAATCAACGTTATTCAGAAAAATCCACACAGAAATGAGTTTTTTAATGGGCATGAAAGGTGTAGCACCCAAAAACAAAAATTTGATAAAAATTCACAAACCTGCACAAAAATGCGAGTTTCTTCACTTTGATTATTTTGACGAGAGCCTGATTCCACCGCACTGCCTCACGTATGGTTCCATTGTATGCTTTGCACCTGCCCATCCTAAAACTTCGACCATTTAGTCATCTGGAGCCTCCTGTCATGTGCTGCATTTCGTGGCGTAGGTGGCCAAGTCAAGTAGTGAGGCTCTCAGACTCCCAACCATAAGGTCGTGGGTTCAAATCCCGTCAGGGGCCCGATGTTGTGTCCTTGGGAAAGGCACTTTATACGAATTTTCCCTTACTTCACCCAGGTGGGAATAGGCGGTGAAAGATCTTGTCAGTTTGTTAGTTGAAGTTAATGGGCGCTTAATCAGCTGCTTGCACTGTATGCTTCCCGAGAAGCCGAGACGGTTCCCACGTCTTCTATGGTCTGCTGGGGTAATAATAATATAGTGTAAAGCGCATAGAGCTTGCTGTCGAGCGGGGAAATGCGCTATACAAATAGTTTTAATTACTATTATTATCATTACTACTACTATTATAAAGACAACAGAATGACTTACATAAGCCAGCAGCTGCAAAGGCAGGAAGTGGTAGATAAATAAAAACCCAAAGGAGACCATCGGCCAGCTGAAGTCAAAGAGCTCCTCGGGGATGAAGGGATCTGTAACGCACAAGGGGAGTGGAGAGGAGAACACATTAGCCGATCACACAATCAGATTGTTGTTGTTGCTGTTGTTATAGTTGTTATTGTTGATGTTGTTGTTGTTATAATTGTTATTGTTGATGTTGTTGTTGTTGCTGTTATTGTTGTTGTTATTGTTGTTGTTGCTGTTGTTATTGTTGTTGTTGCTGTTGTTATTGTTGTTGTTGCTGTTGTTATTGTTGATGTTGTTGTTGCTGTTGTTATAGTAGTTATTGTTGATGTTGTTGTTGTTATAGTAGTTATTGTTGATGTTGTTGTTGTTGTTATCAATCCAGCAACAGCTGGGCTCTCGCCCTTCTGTCCAATGCCATGTAGTGATAAGTGCAGGTTTGCTGCAGTTGCTGTAATGTTCCATAGAGTGTGTTGTCAATGTTAGGTCTCGGAGGGAGAAGGGTAGCTCAGAGGTCATTTAGGGCTGTCCAGTGGAAAGTGTGATGATCCACGTATACAAACAAATTGAGCAGGCACATTATTGGTGGACACTAAAACTTATAAAAATAAACAAAAGCAATGTACAAAGGAGAAAACATATTTTTGTAATTTTGTTTTGTTTTTGTAAAGTGTTTTACGGCGCTCGCAACTGCATAAGGTCATATGAGCACGCGGGACATTAAACTTTTTCAGTTGGTAGGAAATTTTGAATTTTGCCCGCGTGGCGGATGAAGCCTACTCTTATTGATTTTAGACCACCAAGGGATCTTTAACGTGCGCAACTTGCACACGGGCCCTCCGAGATTTTTTGCCCTTGTCCGAGAAGGCTAGATGTCGGGGTGTGGCAGAAAGACAGCAGTAAGAAGAAGCCAAGGAGTAGCAGTAGAAAGGCTGTAGAAAGAATCAGGAGCCCAGAGGAGGGGGCAAAGGAGATGAGGGAGTGGGGACAGAAAGAGGAGACAAAAGCAGACGACAGAACATTGCTAGAGAGCAGGAAAGGAGGTGAAATGAGACAAATTTAGAGAAGAAAATGTTTCTGTCACTACCCGTATTCGAACCCGGGACCTTTGAATGAGAGGCCAACACCTTAACCTCTAAGCCACGAGAGCCCCCTGAAAACATTTAATCAACTTGAGTTGGCACATACTTAGCAGACACTGAAACTTTAAAACAAAAGCAAATAATCACGGACATGAAACAAAACCAAAAGTACTGGATAAACAAAGTCATTCAAGTGAACCGTTCCAGAAATAATTTTCCATTTATCAAAAATCGACCAAAACAAAAAGCTAGGCGTTGACGTTTTTCCCTAGCAACCTAAGAGCAAAATAACAACATAAAATTTGGAAATAAGCAAGCCATAATTTTCGTCAAGAAAATGTAATGCCTAAAGCTCTTTCATTTTTCTCACAAAGTCACGTGCCCCAAAACTGACGTCCAACAGTCTTTCAGAATAGAAGAATCGTCCCTTCCACAAGGCATAAAAGGCTTCCCAAGCAAAAACCCTTGCCACAAGAAAAAAAATCTTGCAAGTGAAATAAATGCTGTCTTACAACTTTACACAACCATCTGTCACAGTTGACAGAACAATGCATCTCTTTATTTGACCTCGCTTCAAGTGTAAGCAACTCCCCCCCACCCCTCCCAATAAAAAAAAAGTTAAAAATTTATTTTTTTTTAATTAAAAGGTTAAAAAATGACAACCCCCCTTCCCAATAAAAAAAAGTTAAAATTAAAAAAAAAAAAAAAAATTAAAAGGTTAAAAAATGACAAAGTTTTCTTTCAGCAGGAACAAATTGCATGTCTCCAGTATCATAAAAAAACCCAACCCAGTTATTACAATGACAGTCATTTTGTAAAGTGTGAGTTGCGAGCGCCGTAAAACCCTATACTAAACAAACAAACAAAAGTGTGAAACTTTTCAGGGAGAGAAAATCCCAAGCTCAACATAGGGAGGGAATACCCATTCTCAGAACCGTACAGCTGTAAGATGACAAAACGCCTTTTTTCTTTTCTTTTTCATTTTGGAGCCAAATCGAGAAAGCCTGATCAGTAACCCTACTTGTGTGAAAAAATCAAACTGATATTGTGACTAGTTACGCTGACAAAAGAAACCCTATTTTTCTCAAAACTGCTCTGGAGAAAAAAAGGAGTTTTGTCAGTCTCAAAACTGCTCTGAAGAAAAAAAGGCAGTGTAGCCCAATCCACTAATAGTATAATACAGCAACAATCCCACGGTTGTAGCAAAACATTATTTCACTTATACATACAGAGAAGAAAATTAACGCAATAACGGTCACTCTGATATTTTTAGTTTTGGTAAGAGTATTACAGCACTTGCAACACAATAAGGTTATATAAGTGCCGAATATTAGAAGTGTTATAAATGAGTAACAAACCAAAAAAAGGAGGAGAGATAATTTAGTTTTAGCAAGAGTTTTACAGCACTTGCAACACAATAAGGTCATATGAGTGCCGAAGATTAGAGGTGTTACAAGAGAGTAACAAACTCTAAAAAGAAAAAGGGGAGATAAAGTCGATAGATGTTTGACAGGAAAGAAGAAGCAAACTACACCAGGGTCGTTCTGAGTAAGGAAAAAGTAAGACAAATAAACAGAAACAAGTGAGGGATATATAGTAAAGAAGTAGGATCTGTCAGTGGCACCCTCCAACCACCCGCAATTTCACCTACCTCCAGTCTTCATTAGATAGAACGGAATAATCAACATCAGGACGTGCTGAAGAAAGTAAACCCCAGTCTCAAAAGGAAGCTGAAAAGGAAACAAGTGGGATGGTAGTTATTTTAAGACTTAAAAGTAATTATAAAAATAATAATAAAAATAATAATAAAAATAATCATAATAGACTGCATTTATACAGCACTCTATCCCATATTAGGGTGAGCTCTGAGCGCTTTTCATCAATCATATAAATATGATCAGTGAGAGATTCACATAAGATAAAATCACAGTTACAAGAACAACCAGTTCAACCACATAACGAAGAACTTTCACAACCATACATAGATCATATACACGTAAGGACAGCAGAAAAAACAAAACATATCAGCTGTTACAAACACACCACAACTAAGAATCAAACGAATGATTCAGATGTATAGCACTTCACTACCCATATCAACAAAGGTGGAGAATAAAACGAAATGACAACGGCAATCAACATAACAAGTGGTAAAAATACTTTCCTTTTTTGTGGTTGAGATCTTCAAAATACAGTGACAAACAAAAAAAAAAACAAAACAAAAAAAAGAGAAAGAAAAGAAAAATACAGTCATTTCTTGGTGGCATGAGAGACGAAAGAACTGACTGACAATTTGCACTAATTCTTTTATTACATGGTGATTCTCATTTCCTTTCCTCGATCTCCAACCCATTATTCATTATAAATAAAGGAATTGGTCCTTAGCCTCTGCTGAACAAGCTGAATTAGCGCAATATACACAACTTACAAAGGTTTATAAAAATCACACAGTCACAAAATCAGTAGGAGTTGTTCATTTAACGAACAAAGCTGAAGACAATTATAGCAATCGAAAGGGGTGTTGGTAACGCATTTTTAATGAAATCATGGCATTAATATTGTTATCAGCCGGGCACGGCCGCCCTCAGCGTACACTTTCAGTATACGGAAACGAGTCGAATCTATTTATAGAAATCGGATTTATCCGTTCTAAAATAATTGTGATGAAGCAGATGCCAAAAATAGACATCATTCCGCCAGGAAATTCGTGTGTCCGCCGAATAACACACAGTGAAATCTGCACTTTCTCAAGCGAAATATCCACTTTTTAACAAAACAAAAACCACTTGGGAGACTATAACGTAAATCCCAAAGACAGTACAGTAGGCTAGCTGTCGTCAGGAGGATGGGGAACACCACCACAAGCCCCAGCACCAGAACAGTCGGAGACAGTAGTGACAGTGACACTAATACTACTGCTAATATCAACTGTGCAACCGACGCGGTAAAGAGTGGTGGGTATTTAATTGCAGACTTAGAGCCAGACCATCATTAACGAGGGAGAAAAAAACCATACGACATTTCATGAAAACCCAGATTTACCACGATTTAGAGTCTAGATCTAGATATAGATATCTAGATTCTAGATCCCTTTGTTAAAACAACTGTTAATGTTGCTGTCGTGCCCAATACCATAGATCTAGACTCTACCACACAACTCTTGACTAGATGTCTAATCCTTCTTTAATTTTAACAAAACTAAACCTGCATATTACATACTTTTGTCTCACTATAACTTTTAGTAAAAGAAGCAAGAGTTTGATTAACGCTATACACAAGCGAGAGGATTAATTTGATCTTGACCTAGAGGACCTATATCTAGAATCTAGATAATACAAAGCATAATAATTTTTTTTTTAAAGCTTTTTCGTATTTTTTAATGCTAAAAAATCTAGTAGCAAAAAAGTTGTACTCCATTTCTACATGTATTTCCCAGATGAACCAAGAGAGGACTGGTCAGTTCTCAAAGCTGACATAGCACGCCTAAACCAAGGTACGTCAATATACCATGTATTTTACCCCCTCTTGTGTTTGTTTGAGTCTGAACACAAGTCTTGCAGTCTTACTCTTAATTATTCATGAAGTTGTTTTTACGCCCCCATCGACACAATTTAAGACAGTCTTGAACGCCCCCATCGACACAATTTAAGACAGTCTTGAATTCATCCACTATATACTTTGTTCCTTGAAATGGTCCTGCTGTTTTAAAATACATTTACAATAGTTTTGGTGGAAACTGAGCAGAAATGGGTTGGGATGGGGGAGCCTTTGGCTGTATCATCTTTTGTAAAACAGTGAAAGGCATTACATCAATGCTTACAAAAAGCAAAAGTGCTTCATTTGTCGATTAGTTATGGAGTACTGAGTTTGACACTTCATAACTGTTTGAGAGCAGAACCATCATCAACATACTACTATAAGTAATAGTACACATTGTTAAAAACTGAAATGACTTTAAAAGATCAAACTGAAGCATCACAACATTAATACATCACCAATACTCTACCTGTAAAATGTACAACTGAGATTTTTTTTTTTTGTCGTCAGGTTGGTAATTTCACTTTTAAGGGAAGATCATGAAACACGATATAAATATTTGTATTTACTAGAAAATTAAAGCACCTATGTTCCAGTCCAGTCACATACGCTCAAACAAGATTCCTTTTTTTTCTGTTGTTGGAGATGAATGAAATGATTTCCACATCTGACCACCACTTTCTTTATATATATGTACCTTTTTAAGGAGACAGAGAAATGGAAATTTGCTTTGGCGACAGTCCCGAGTTGGATCTGGGTCGTCACTTTAAGCGATGCCGCAAAAATCCAGGGCACAAGGACTTCATCAGTGTAAAGGATGTTTCCTTGCAACACATCCCTGAACCCTGGAGACACCCCAATGTGCTGAGAGCGGTTCAGCTGTTGTCAGCTTTCACTGTCAGACTTGTGGTCAGGTAGGTCGGCCTGAGATCCCTACACTGTTCATTAAGTCAATGACTCTCATTTATTTATTTATTTATTTATTTAATTATTTATTTATTTATTTATTGAATAACTAATTCATTCATTCATTCATTCATTTATTTATTTTAAAAAATTTCTTTCTTTCTTTATTCAATCATTCATTGACTTACTTATTTACTTTATTTTCTTTTTGGGATATCTAAATAGAGGACTCTGAAACTATATATCTTGTACCCTATTTAATTTCATGACACTAGCAACTTCATATGTGCAAAATAGAGTCCTTACCCCAAAATGAAACAGACTGACTGTAGATGCACAATGCATACTGAGGCAATCAACAAACATGGGTTTACGACAAATGACTTGTGTAACTATGTGTATCAACAGCACAGCGGCCATAAACGCACGCACACGTGTACATGCAAGCAAACAGCCCTTCATTTCCCCACTACCCTCATACTTATATGCAAATGTAGCATAATGGTTTTATTTTATGTGAATGCACATTGAAATGTAACTTTCATGGGTATTTCTGCTGATAACCACATTAGACTGTGTTATTTTGAGAACTGCAAGAATTAAAAGACACGTTTTGAAACAACAGTGCCGGAAATTCAAACCTAAATTACAATTAATTCAGTACGGCTCTTATTTGAATAATTCCAGTGTCGGATACCCACCGGCTCAAATCCTTGAGATCTTCTAAATTCTCTTTGTTAAAATTTATTCATACATGTCTCAACCCCCCGGGGCAGTGCCACAGACTGAAGGGTCTTTAGGCCATTCCCAAAGGGGGGACATTTCTCATTCAAGCATAGTAGAATTGTAAATGGGCTGATTCGTGTCACGCTCATAACTGTGCCTGATCTACAACAGGGAACTGCTGCTTTTTCTTTCCTGATCCTTACTATTGTCATTTTTCCTCTACTTCTTTTGTATGTTTGTCACTCTCTTGTGACCTGCTATTTTGGGGTGCCTTGATAGCTGAAGCAGACCTTGTGCTGTTGAAGCTAGAGAGGTGAGCTGAGTAACCCTGATTCACTGTAAAGACTTCTTTGTTGACACCCACCCCTTGGCGCTCATATGACCTTATGCAGTTGCGAGCGCCGTAAAACCTCTACTATAGTTTTAAAAAATATATACATATCTCATAAGCAAATATCTCAAAATGAGATTGGCACATAATTTTCACCATCCAACTTTTTCTCTGAACAGATATACTAGCATGAAGCGCCCTAATGAATTTGGCTCTCCTAACCTCAAGGGGACAAAGGTCATGCGACTGGGTAGTGGTTTCTTTGACATCGGTGCCTTGGAGAGGGACCGCCAGAATCAACCCTGCCCCCTCAAAAACTGCCCTCTGTCTAGCGACCCCGACCACGAGGTCAGTCCCTTTTTCTACATCCAGACAGCGGCCCACGTGGTGTTCGACGACCAGGAAGCCCGCCACACGACCGTCGAGTTTTTCTACGACTCCGAAGATGACAAACAAACCAGCGTAGTCCGCTGCCAGGGAGTAACGGTGGCCGGGGGCACGCTCAGCGATGACCACAGTCAGCTCAAGTGTTTCACGCACGACCTCACCTTGCTCACACGACTCGAATCTCTGCTGGACCTGGCACAGCCAGAGCCCAACATTCTGCCAAAGAAGAGCTCTCTGTGCTTGGTCATTTCCCACCCTCACGGATGCAGCAAGCACATTTCATTTGGAGTCCTGCTCGACTTGAGAGAGCTGAACCAGCTGACGGATAACCTCATTCTGGAGGGCTGCCAGAAGATCTATGAGGACAGAGATTATCTAAAAACCATTGGCTTAACTGATGCCGACATCGACAGAATACGTTTACTCATGGACATGAATGGGGGGACCACTACATTCCAGGCAATGAAGGCCAATGGGGTTGAGCAAACTCTTAATCAGTTTCCGAATGCAAGTGAATTAAAGGAATGCATTGACCTTCTGCGGGCATCTCCTGCCAATCCTGGCAGTGGAATAGCCCAGTTTACAGAGAGCATCATGGACTACTTCAAGGCACACCAAGACGAGAGAGCTGCGGCGGGCTTTCAAGAACTGATGAACATTACCAAGTCAGTGTGGGGCAAAAACCGGGGACAGATGATGTGGACGATCAAGTACAGTGCGGCCACCTGCCCAGGCAGCTCAGGGGCCCCTGTGTTTGTCCTCGACACACGCTCGGCCACATGTCGGATACTGGGCGGCCCGCACAGTCGTTGTGGGAGGGATGGCCGGAACCAGAGTGGGCTCAGTACAAGCATGCCCTTCCAAATTCTCTGACAGTTCAGGCTTGCTACTAACATACATAACAATAGCAAATAGCATTTGTATAGCGCACATCCCCGCCGACAGTAAGCTCAATGCGTTTTACACTATAATATTACCTCAGCAGACAATAGAGCACTCAAAAACATTCTCAGCTTCTTAGAACACTAGGGAACATTCTCAGCTTCCCGGGAAGCATACAGTGCAAGCAGCTGATGAAGCGCTCAAACACTAGCAAACTGACAAGATCTTTTACTAAGTATAGCTGGGTACCTCTTCTCATCTGAGTGAAGTGAGGAAAATTCGTGTAAAGTGCCATTCCCAAGGACACAATGTCGGACCCCAGACAGGATTCGAACCCAAGATTTATGGTTGTGAGTCAGAGAGCGTAACCACGAAGCCACCGATGCCACATTTCATTCCAGATCCGGTGAATTTGTTACTGACATTCCATTCCAGATCCCCTGAATTTGTTATTAACATTCCATTCCAGATCCCCTGAATTTGTTACTAACATTCCATTCCAGATTCTCTGAATTTGTTACTAACATTCCATTCCAGATCCCCTGAATTTGTTACTAACATTCCATATCCCCTGAATTTGTTACTAACATTCCATTCCAGATCCCCTGAATTTGTTACTGACATTCCATTCCAGATCCCCTCAATTTGTTAGTAACATTCCATTCCAGATTCCCTGAATTTGTTACTAACATTCCATTCCAGACTCTGTACAAACGTTTCATTGGAGAATTTCTGACCTGTTCCTACCATTCTTTTCAAGATTCTCTGACTCAGAGGTACCAGCAATCCAGTCAAGAAATTATCAGAACCTCAACTTGCTTGCAAAATGAAGTACCTAGCATATATATGACAGACACCAGTTGAGGAAATGCCTTTAGTTTTGTTTTAGTTGCTACAAACACTAGCGTATGTTTGCCATGGTAAAACAAAGTGCCCTTCTGGGACAAATAAAAGTGTAATTTATTTATTTATTTATCTAATTAGGTTATTATAAGAGCTGAAGATTACAGGTGTTACTAGATAGTAATGTACAAAAAAGAAAAAAAAAAAAGTAGGACAGAAGGCCCCCAAATGTTAGGTAGGAATGGAGCAGACCACACCAGAACACCCACGAACCACCCACAGAAAAAGAGTATGAACAGGAAAATAGAATTCCACTGAGAGACAGAGGGGAAGAGAGGCAATGTTTATTTAAACAAGGCACCCGAGCCACATATACTTCACACTTGATGTTTTTGGACACAAAAGTATATATATTTATAATATACTAAAATATGATATAACTTTTGCGGCTAAACGGACAGAACAGAACCCAATTTCTTTTATCCCCTGACAAAAAAATTTCACCTTGACCTATATAAGTAATTTCAAAACACACTCCCTTTATTTCTTTGCAATGGGGATACATGTAAAAGTTACATACGTCATCTCATCTATTCTCATCTCATCTATTCTCATCTCAGTTAGCCTACTTCATTCAGTATGCTGACATTTTTGCTGTGACTTAGGGTAAAGTTATTTCTCGTATGAATCTCTTTTTGGGTACTCACTCGTATCCCACATACACACAGATTTGTATTGTGCTTCAAACCAGGAGCACATCACAATAAATAGCATTTCAACTAACCAACATTACTTGTCACCATCTTGCATGTAGTTTTCATCTTTGGTTTAAACTAGGGAAGATTTGGTGCGCTGCAAGGCAATATTAGGTAGAAAGGGAGAGTATGAGAGGGAGAGAGAGAGAGAAATGGTATGGGTTCAACGCCTTTATCAACATTATTGGGTTATTTTAGAGGCGGAACTCCAAGTTTAACGTCCATCTCCGAAAGGACTGAGCCAAATGGGAATAATTTCGCGCTTTCCCAAGGACAAAACGTCGGACCGAGCTGAGAATCAAACCTCCGAACCCGCAATCTCACGATTACGAGTCCTGTAGCCTAGCCTAGACAAAGAAAGGGGTGGAAACAGGTGAAGAAAATAATATATATGTGAGGCAGCGTGGTGGAATCAGGCTCTCGTCAAAATAATCAAATGTGAAAAAACTTGCATTTTTCCGCAGGTTTATGAATTTTTTCCAAATTTTTGTTTTTTGGCTCAATGCCTTTCATGCCCATGCATTAAAAACTCATTTTTGAGTGGATTTTTCTGAAAAACGTCGATTAAAGGCACCAAAAAATGTAAATTTTCAGTTACCACGGACTCTAAAGCTCAGGAAATGACTAATCTTTGGCGGCCATTTTCTCACTTATTTTACCTCTGAAAACAGGTGACCCACATCCCCTTCATTCGCAAATATCTCGATTTGTATTCAAGATAAATGGATATTTTTTTCATCCAAATAAAGACAAGTGAACAAGCTTTAAGATGATACCAATAACTCTACATGCCCAAAAACTGACGAGAGCCTGATTCCACCACGCTGCGTCACATATGTACCGTATGACATGAGAGCATGAGCACGACAGTGTGAATGTGACTTCCACATCGGTCTGGTGTTGAAGGGGCTGGATAATAGGTGTTTCTGTACGTAACATAAAACAAAGAAAACAGGAAAGAGAGATAAAGACGTTAGATAGATGTCCGGTACCGTAGTCAAGTAGGAAAGATGGAGCACACCATACCAGAATCATCTTCATCATCTCTCTCCCTTCTTTTCTTTGTATGTTACTCAGGTGCATCTATCACCCTGTACGCACACATGTATGTTGTCGCTGTTGCAAGCAATCCAATTAAGTCCAAATTTGGAGAACTTTTGATTTTTACAGTTGTCGCTGTTGCAAGCAATCCAATTAAGTCCAAATTTGGAGAACTTTTGATTTTTACAAACTCCCAAAGCTCTATCCAAGATGGAACTTTCATCAGCATCAATAAAATGAAGTTTAACGCTATGGTCGGTCAAGGCTTACAACTTTATTGCTTTTCTTGATTCCTGAAAGGAACAACACAACAAACCTTACTTTATTTTTGGTCAAAGGTGTATAAAAAACTCAGACTTCATTAAGTGGATTGCTTGCACCACCAACGATAAATATATATATATGTCAGGCATCATGGTCAAATCAGGCACTCGCCAAAATAAGGAACTAGAAGAAAACGGCATTTTAGCAGCGGTTTGGCAATTTTTTTCTCGAATTTTTGTTCTCCAACTCAACACCTTTTATATCAATTTAAAAACAAAATTTTTCTGGATTTTATTGAAGGCACAAAAAATGTAAATTTTCATTTCCCAAGGCCTCTCAAGCTATGGAAACTACCAACATTTGGAGGCCATTTTCCTTGATAGATTTACCTCCGAAATCAGGAAACCCCCGCCTTCTTCAATAGGATACATCTCAACTTCTATTCCTGATATCTTTAAGGTGATACCATTAACTCAACACGCCTAAAAATTGACGAGCGCCTGATTCCACCGCGTCGTGACACACATGCACATGTTCCTGGGTGTGTGCACGAACGACTCACCAGCCTGGTGTTGATGACGGGGAACAAGATGGCGATGGGGGCGCCTGTGAGCATGTGCATGTGCAGCCTGAACGCAGACGTCACGATCCGGCTTGGTGGGGCCGCCAGGATGAATATCTGGGGAGGAAAAAAACAACAGTCTTTGAAGGTTCTGTCGCGTTTGTTGGTTTGTTTGTTTGTTTGTTTGTTTGAGTAAACAGAATCAAACAAAGTCTTTTTTTCTTTTTTTGGGGTTTTTTTTGGTTTTTGTAAAGTGTTTTACGGCGTTCGCAACTGCATAAGGTCATATGAGCGCGCGGGACACACCTAATATTTTCAGTTGGTAGGAAATTTTGAATTTTGCCCGGGTGGCGGCCGAAGCCTACTCTTATCGATTTTAGACCACCAAGGGATCTTTAACGTGCGCAATTTGCACACGGGCCCTCCGAGATTTTTCGCCCCCCTTTTTCTTTTTGTAAGAGTTTTACGGCACTTACAACACAATAAGATCACATAAATGTCGAGGAATAAATGTGTTTCAAGAGAGTTTTTGTTTTGGCAGAGGTTTTACTGCGCTCCCAACTGCATAATGTCATATGAGCGCCAGAAGATAGAGGTGTTACAAGAGGGTAACGAACAAAAAAAAAAGGAGGAAGAGAGATAAGGACGATAGAAGTTTGATAGGAAAGAACAAGCAAACCCCACTAGAGCACCCGTCAACCACCCACGTTTGTTTGTTTGAGTAAACAGAAACATACAAAGTCTTTGTTTGAGGGGCCTGTCACATTTGTCTGTTAAGTTTTTTACTTTTAGTAAGAGTTCTACAGCACAGGCAACACAATAAGGTCAAATAAGTGCCGAAGATTAGAGGTGTGTGTTACAAGAGAGTAACAAACATAAAAAAAGAAAGAGGGGAGATAGAGACGATAGATTTTTTTATAGGAAAGAAGGAGCAAACCAGACCAGAGCACCCGCCAACCACCCACATTTCTGTAACAACCACCCACATTTCTGTAACAACCACCTACATTTCTGTAACAACCACCCACATTTCTGTAACAACCATCCACATTTCTGTAACAACCACCCACATTTCTGTAACAACCACCCACATTTCTGTAACAACCACCCACATTCTGTAACAACCACCCACATTTCTGTAACAACCACCCACATTTCTGTAAACAGAAGCATACAAAGTCTTTGAAGGGCCTCTCACATTGTTTGAGTGACAGAAACATCATACAAACACATGAGCGGTCATTTAGAGCTGGGGAAAAGTAAAACCAACAGAGGGAAAGTAAAGAAGCAGGACCTATCAAGGGCGCCCTCCAACCACCCACAAGGACCGCTACATGCAGGGAAAAGCAAGACAATACGTATGGAAACCAAGGAGAGTTAGTAAAGGAGTAGGACCTATAACAAGCCTTGCCCACAAATCACCCCTCCTCCCCATTACTTGTTTTTGTAAGAGTTTTAATAAACTTTTACGGCACTTGCAACACAATAAGGCCATATAAGTGCCGCCGAAAATGTTAAGGAGTTGCGAGAGAGTAACAAACACAAATATGAAGGAGGAAAGATAAGGACGATAGATGTTTGACAGGAAAGAAGAAGCAAACCACACCAGAGCACCCGCCAACCACCCCTCCTCTCCGTCTCTTGGATCATACGCCCGTCTTCCGAATGACTTGTTGCGTCGAATGCCACTTTTAATATAATTCAATACCGGCTAGCCACGCAAAAAGAAAGAAAGAAAAAACCCAAACTCACACTGTTCTATCATCACTTAGTCTTGTTGAGTTTAGTTACGTACACCAGACAAGCGCTCGTCATCAATTCAGTGTTGAGGGGAAAAAATTGGGACAAAGACACCCCCCCCCCCCCCCCCCGAAAAAAAGGTTAGTTTTAGTAGAGGTTTTACGGCGCTCGCAACTGCATTAGGTCATATGAGCGCCGGAAGCTTATAGCTGTTACAAGAGAGTAACAAACATAAAAAAGAAGAAGGGGAGATAAGGACTATAGATGTTTGACAGGAAAGAAGAAGCAAACCACACCAGACCACCCGCCAACCACAAAACAAACAAAAACCGCAAAAGAGCGCACGGTAAAACATTCGTATCGCCACGATAGAAGTGCGCCAAGTGGCTGGGACCAAGGCCGGGTCGAGCGAGAGCAGCAGAATAAATTACACATATCGTAGCTAGATCTAGTTGTGACTCGGAAAAAAAACCCATCTGCAATGTAAATTAATATCATATCTTCTATTCTCTATTTGTGGTGGCCGAATTTTGCTAATCAAAAGGCTTTTTAATGGCTGCATCGATCGACATGCGGTTTTCGCCAAAATATTCTTTAAAATATTCTCCAGAGCATGGCACTCTTAGTTTTTTCAGTTTTGAGACAGTTTTGCTGCAAAAAGCAAATATTTTTTTTTCGCCGATCGCTTTCGTAGGCCGACGCTTCTGTCTCTGTAATTTTAGAAAATCCGGAAGTGATATTTCGCGAGGCGCGTTTTGTTTTGAGAGTATAGATCTAGACCTTATAATTTTTTGCATCTCTCAAAATTTATTGCCCCATTCCATTAGAGTGTAAATATAGTAGGTCAGTGACTTTTAGTTGATATTAAAGCACTGGCCTAGACGGTCAGAGAACGGTTAGTATAAGAACGTATAGGCACCGCCGATCATTCCTTTCATCGAAAGGGGGCCCAGCTAGTAATATATTATAATTTGACAGGAAAGAAGAATAGCGTTCTTCAGAAAAGTCAAACTGATGAAACGCTGGGAATGGCCACATAACAATTTTACTCATTTTCGGTGATCAAAGTGAAATTTAAAGTTCATCATGCCTCTAAATTGTTATTTATTTACATATTTGTTTATGTTATTTATTAACTTTCTTTATTCATTTCTTTATTTATTTATTCGTTTGTTTATTAATGTATACACACAAAAGAAGTAGAGGAAAAATGACAATAGTAAGGATTAGGAAAGAAAAAGAAGGAGCTTCCTGTTGCACTCCAGGCACCGTTATGAGCATGACATTGTTGAATCAGCCCATTTACAATTCTGCTGTGCATACGAACAAGTTAGACCTAATGTCCCCCTCCCCCTTTGGGAAAAGGCCTAAAGACACTTCAGTCAGTGGCAGCACCCCCGGGGTGTGGTGTGTGTGTGTGTGGGGGGGGGGGGGGGGCTATGAGGTTGGTCGCGGTTTGCAATTCGCAGCAACGATATTATAATAAAATATCGTCTGTCCAGTCGCACATAGCAATCAGGGGGGAGCGGCCAAGTGCTCGCGTGGCGGGGGCAAGGTCTCTTGACACCCGGCGATTTATGCGTTATGCATGAGGCCCGGCCGAGATGAGCGCCTGGTAGTGGACATGCATGCCTGTTACATTATAGAACGTTCTAGAAGTTATGGACAGTCGTGGCAGGGACAATGTGACGACATACATGCCTGTTACATTATAGAACGTTATACACAGTGGCAGTAGTTTTAGTTTTAGTAGAAGTTTTACGGCGCTCGCAACTGCATACGGTCAAATGAGCGCCAGAAGATTACAGCTGTTACAAGAGAGTAACAAACATAAAAAAGATGAAGGGGAGATCAGGACGATAGATGTTTGATAGGAAAGAAGAAGCAAACCACACCAGAGCACCCGCCAACGGGGGTTATGAACATATTTAATTCAGTCACTTGAAAAAAAAAGTACTTTATGAAAATTCTGTAACGTGTTTAGTTTCAGTAACTGACGGGACAAATGAGGTTATCCTTTTCTGTCCGGTCGGTTACCAAACCTAAACACGTCACAGAATGTGCATGAAGTGCTTTTTTCCCCCTTCAATAATTATTGCATTTAATATGACTCTTAATGCGTCTTGGAAAAGTTCTGATCATTTAAAGTTGAGATGACTTAACCGATATTGAATTACATTACAGTGTCATCATTGTAAAAAAAAGTACTTTTGTCCAAATATCCCGTCATTTACTGTGGAATGGCCCACTCACCACTCATTTATCTCAATACAATACAATTATCTTGCCGGAGTCTCTTGACACTGCAAGTGTTATCGAAGCTGTGTAGAGTAGAGAAGGCTGAGCTCTTTCCTTCACTGACCACATGACGCACTGAGCTACATGTACCAGGGTCCTTCCTTCACTGACCACATGACGCACTGAGCTACGTTTACCAGGGTCCTTCCTTCACTGACCACATGACGCACTGAGCTACATGTACCAGGGTCCTTCCTTCACTGACCACATGACGCACTGAGCTACGTTTACCAGGGTCCTTCCTTCACTGACCACATGACGCACTGAGCTACATGTACCAGGGTCC